ACAATTGTTTGAATGTTTGCTTATCTTTGATAGACTTCGCGATATCTCTCAAACTGTTGGGCACTTCAGCGCTGATCACATCATTACACGAAGAGATCATTTCATTGAAGTCTGCGTCCAGGTCTGCGTTATCCTCTAAAAAACATTAAATAAATAAATTAAATACTTGTATAATTAATTATATGTATAATCAAATGCTCACTCATAGCCCCCTGAAGGGTAGACTTAAGAATAGCATTTTTGAGGGACGAGCCCATAGAGACGGGGCCGTGGGTTTCAAGACTAGTGTTGGATATAATGTGATAGTTGTTGAGAATCTCGTTATAAATAGCCTTTGAGTTCGAGAATTGTCTCAAAATGTTCACCAAATCGTATTTCTTTTCATCCATAAAAAGACTCTTAGTTTTCAGTAGATTTTTGGGACCAAACAGGAGGACATTGATTATGAAGGGAAATGACCGCACTTTTCCCACCAATGAAGAGCTCGCTCTCTCCACACGTTTCGCTTTAAACGACTTCAACAGGTCTTCATCGTGGATGTGATGCCCAAACTTCGATAAAACCATTTGTTGGGCATGTTTTGACTCGGGGTAGTCCGCAAAGTAGTCAATCTATATCCATATTATGAACATTAATGCCATTATTGAATAATGTTTAACAACTAAGTAATAGATGAGACTAACACTGGTCATATTAAACATCACTTGATTGCACTGAACGCTCATTGTTTCGACAAACGGATTGTAATCCTCGGCTGAGACAGTGCCCCGAGTTATGCCCTGACGCTAGGCATTGGATATAGAAATTAATTGACAGTTTTATGGCTATAATTCATTTTACCAAAAAAGGGCTGCTTTTATTGGACCAAAACCACTGCAACACAATCCAAGACGAGGCTCCGGGAAAGTTTTCGCCCCAATGGGCCCGGGAGTGGATCTCACACTCTGTTTGGTGAGGAGTGTCCAACTCATGCATAATCTCGTAGTCGGTGTAAGAGTTGTCTAAATTAGTTACGGGTCTCGACTGAAGTATAAATATTTGGCCCCCGAGTAGACCCCACTCTATATCTCTCGCATTTCCGTAGTGTTTGTGAATCTGAAGTCCAATATCACCCAAACGTAATAAATCCCGATCACTGACACAACAATTGCTTCTGTCGATAACCTCCTCCTCAACAGTCCCTCCATTTTCTAAGAGTTTTATTAATGTCTTCTTCTGTCCGATCACTTTATCCACAATTCCGGTGATATGTCTTCGTGTGGACAGAGAGTTGGACTCAATATTAACGGACAGTTTGATTGAATCCGGTTCTGAAGACGCGGACACCACTGACTGAAGGATTGAAAGGAAATTTAAATTAATTATAAACTAATTGCTAGTAATAGTGATAATAACGACTCACTTCTCCCAACCCATAATTGCCGGTAATCTCGAGAACCCTCTCATCACCGGTGATGGGATCACAAGTGAACAGAACTCCCGCCGATTCGCAGCCAACCATCTCTTGTATGACGACAGCCATCGGACTATTGATAGGCTGTCCGTAACCTCTCTTATACTCGACAGCGATGTGCGAGAACTGAGACGACCAGCACTTCATAGCAGCCAATCATCTCTTGTATGACGACAGCCATCGGACTATTGATAGGCTGTCCGTAACCTCTCTTATACTCGTAGGCGATGTGCGAGAACTGTGAGGACCAGCACTTCATCACCGATGAGTAGATCTCTTCCAGACCTTTGACTCCCAAATATGTCTCCATTTGTCCCGCGGCTGACATCTCCTCCGAGTCCTCCGAAGCACCGGAAGATCTGACGGCAAAGAGTTTTCTCTCAAAATCATTGAAATTATTTTTGAGCTTTTCTTTGATGTCTTTTCGTATAATTTCCGGTAATTTATGACTCGATATACTAATCATTATTTCCTCGCATTTAGTCTTCAATTCTTTTGTTGACAATTGAGTCGATTCTTCCAACTCTTGGATCTCTTGAGACAAGTCTTTGTATTCGCGAAGAAGTCTTTGATAAGCATTTGTGGTGACAATCACACCATTCGGGACATTGAATTGGTTTTCATACTTCTCTTTAACCAACTCTTCGCTCAAACTCTTGAGAACCGCTAAAGAGCTTCCTTTACCTCCACTTAATTCAACTCTTTTGGCATTTTCTTCACTAAAACCCAAAACAAGTGACAAATCATTTGCAACCGATTTGTATGTTTCGACCGATTCTTGAACTTGTGTTTCGTTTTCCTCTAATATATAACACATTCCTTCGGATTCGTTGATTAAAAGTCTTTTCGCGAAACTATTTCCATGTTTTTCGATAACAATATTATAATCTTTGTCACCAAAAGTTGCTTTAAAGTGAATTAAACTCTTTTCATTAATTTCTTGAAAATCTGATTCATGTAATGATAAGTCCTTTAGCTTTGAATTTCCAGTTTTTCTAAATATATATCCGAAACGATATTTCAATCCATTTCTATCGGATATGAATCCCAAATGTATTCCAAATCCTATTTCATAAAAATTGTTAATTTAAATCTTTAATAATTTTGAAATTCATAAATACCTAGTTTAGTGTATCCTATAATTCTCGTTATATTCCTCTCAATTGGTTTACTGTGTAAATACTTTTTACTAATAGATCCCCAGAAGTATAGCTGTCTTTCCTCTTCCATCTCTTCCTTGAAGTTACCCTTTATTTGACCGAATTGTTCGAAGCGGTCCTCAAACCGATCGCTACTTTCTCTTGATTTCGGGGATAATAACAACTCTTTGGCCATAAAGTGATCGTCGAAATCATGAGTGAAGTCATAAACTCTTGATACGGAATACCATAAGAATCTGAACCTAACGTAAACCAATTCGTTGTTATTCTTCGTGAGATATCCCCTGAATTTAATCCTTTTTCGTCTGAATGGAGACATTATCTCAACTCCGAGTCCACAAACTCTGTACTCATTCCTTCGGATTCGTTGATTAAAAGTCTTTTCGCGAAACTATTTTCATGTTTTTCGATAACAATATTATAATCTTTGTCACCAAAAGTTGCCTTAAAATACTCATTCCTGCGGTACTCGACCTCCGAGTCCTCCTCTAATGTATAGCTATTACTGTTGTTGTCATCAAATCTCAAACTAATGGTTGCATTCATTTGATTGTCCACTCCTTTTGGTCTCCATTTGATTGCTATATAAATGCTTTGTTTCGATGAATTCACGCCATATATCAACAAATCCTCACTTTTATCCTATTATACAGTATATATAGAACTTGTTTATAAATTTGTAAAATAAATTTGATTACTATTGCTTTTATTCTATAATGAAGCTTTGTAATTCATTATAACATAATCTCATTAAATATTTTCATAAAAATATTTTTTCTTAAAGTATAATACATGTTTATTTAGTGTACATTTACGTACGATACAGTATACTTAAATACGTAATGAAATTGTTTTATTATTTTTAACCATGCAACTTATCTTTTAATTCTCATAAGTTATAACATAATTTAATGTATTATTAATTTATTATTAAACGATTGAAAAACAGTTATCGCTTTAAACTATGCTATAGTTTGGCTAATATTTAAAATTCTTAAATATGACTAAAATCATCAAAAATTACTTACTTTGGAGGGCAGGTCATAGTCCCACTCATGAGGGAACGGTACTACACCCGAGTCCCGGACGTCATCCTTCCAGAGGTCGTGCCTTACGATTCGGTTAGTCTTCTGTTGTCTCCTTCTGAACCACAGTTCCCAGTATTCACTCAAATACCTAAACCATCGGCCGTTGATCTCATGGTTTAGTTTTAGTAATTTATTGGCGAATAAAGTAATGACAGGAATCGATACGAAAAGTCCCATATTTTTCTTATTTCATATTCCTATTGGCATTTAATACACGAATAAGAATACAAGTAATTATGAAAATGAATGCATTGAGTGAAAGGCTTTTATACGGGAATTCCTATTCATAACGAGCTTATCATTCATTAAGTTTAAGATTACATTTTCACTGATAGTCATAACATTATGACGTGTTTTAAGGCACTAATTATGAGCACTTGTTGTGTGTATTATACATGTATTTTATTTATGATTAATTGACAGACTTTTGCATCGATATGAGTTTCAATGGGGAGGAGTTGCACTAACAAGTTTATTTTTTCGACTAACTGTCCTTAAAAGTGCAACCCTATTCATATTATACATGTATTTTATTTATGATTAATTGACAGACTTTTGCACCGATATGAGTTTCAATGGGGAGGAGTTGCACTAACAAGTTTATTTTTTCGACTAACTGTCCTTAAAAGTGCAACCCTATTCTTAAACCCTAACTATCAAGATCGATTTTACAAATTCATAATTAATTTTATAATTAGCGTAATTGGTGTTTGCTTAAATTAATTAGAGCATTTATAAATGACAATGTTATTTGTAAATTAAATTCTGATGAGCATACTGTAATTGTGAACTTGTACATTTTCATTTGGCATTAACCGAGGCATATAAATTAGTAGTAATAGTATACAAATTTACTTTAAACAAATTAATCTATTGTACTTTGCATATTCTTTTAACTAATTTACAAAGACAAATATTTATTTGCTTATTACCAATGTGTGTAGGATTTCTAATTAGATTACCAATTAAGTATCTGTCATATTTTATACAAGACACTTTAACACTTGTATTTGTGAATAAATAATTTGTTAATTTGAATGTGACCGCAATGAAACGGTGCAATATTTATATAAATCATTATAATTTATAAGTCACTAATTAACCACGTAAATGTTTGTTTATTAGTAACTTGAGTGATAACATCGTGGCCTTACAGTACTAAACTATGCACTAATCCAGGCCTAAATTAAGCAATAACTAAAATAGCATACTTGCACTCAAATATCTGTATTTATTTGATTATTATACATGTATTTTATTTATGATTAATTGACAGACTTTTGCACCGATATGAGTTTCAATGGGGAGGAGTTGCACTAACAAGTTTATTTTTTCGACTAACTGTCCTTAAAAGTGCAACCCTATTCATACCCTTCATTTGACCGAATTGTTCGAATCGGTCCTCAAACCGATCACTTCTTTCTTTTGATTTCGGGGATAATAACAACTCTTTGGCCATAAAGTGATCGTCGAAATCATGGGTGAAGTCATAAACCCTAGAGACCGCATACCATAAGAATCTAAATCTAACGTAAACTAATTCATTGTTGTTTTTCTTGAGATATCCCCTAAACTTAATCCTTTTCCTTCTGAATGGAGACATTATCTCAACTCCGAGTCCACAAACTCTGTACTCATTCCTGCGGTACTCGACCTCCGAGTCCTCCTCTAATGTATAGCTATTACTGTTGTTGTCATCAAATCTCAAACTAATGATTGCATTCATTTGATTGTTCACTCCTTTTGGTCTCCATTTGATAGTAATATAAATGCTTTGTTTCGATGAATTCACGCCATATATCAACAAATCCTCGCTTTTTTCCTAATTTTATTAATTATATTTTATGTCCTTTAATTGCTTTAAATTTTTATATTCAATTTAAATTATTTTAATATAGATTTATTTTAATATTATATAACAATATTCATTTAAATATCGTATTATAATTCTGTACAGTATATCTATTTTAATTTATTTTAAGATTCTTTTAATTATATTGTAATTTAAACAAAATATAAATTAGACCTCAATTTTTTAAAATCCCATATTAAAATTTAGACTTATAGTTTATAATTAAGGAGTATGGTTTAATGAATACCTGTGAGGGCACTTCATAATGCCACTCATGTGGGAATGGCATCATCCCGGCGTTGTGCTCCTCATCCTTCCAGACATCATGTGTTGTGATTCTGTTGGTCTTGTACTGCAATCTTCTGGACCACAGTTCCCACAATTCACTCAAATATTTAAACCATTTGCCATTAATTTCATGATTTATTTGTATTACTTTATTTACATATATAGTGATGACTGGGAGTGATAATAATAGTCCCATAATTTAATATATTTATTATTTTTTCAAATCAAGAATCAACTTTCTATAGTAAAGTTGTGTTTGCATTAGAAATGGATAGTAATAAAGCACAGGCCTTTAAATATCTATTATTAAAAACAAGTTTTATAACTTATGTCTTTCAAATGTTAAATGTCTTTTAACTAATAATCAAGCATTTTTACGTCACTATATTATCAATATGAACTCATATCTTAATTATTAACACAAGTTATATCTAAATCAACGCACGGCACCCATTATATTAATAATATTAAGTGCTGATAAAAAGTTTGCACTTTTATATCCTACATAGAAATCCATTCAATTGTTGTAACAAACTAGTTTATAATCAATAAAATGTATTATGTTCAATAATATTTTTTCAAGGTTTGTAAATATATTTTGCTATAAATTTTAATTAGCATTCCTCTGCATATAACAAACTGATAGCTAATATTATATTTAGATATAAATTACAGTACATTTACATTGTCCTTAACACTCAATTCAAACAATTATGGAAAATATAAATTCTAAGTTCTAGGTCAACCCATTGCACTAAGCTGGTACATTATTAAGCAATTTGTGGTGATTTTATATTAGAATTAAATAAAATATACATTGTGTTTAGGTCATATAAATGTACTAAACATAGTTTTTAGTACTTTAATACAAATGACTTGAATCAAAATAATTACAATTAATAGTGTTCAGTATAATTGAGAATCCATTGCTTGAACACTGAGACACGTGTGTAGACACCTGGTTGTGAAGGCTTACCGCACCCTATACCCCAGGACATTATCCCGGCCAGAAACCAATGACCCTTATCATTCTGAACCTGGAGTGGGCCCCCACTGTCACCATTGCATGAATCTGGTCCTCCCTTATCATAACCGGCGCACATCAATATCTCGGGAATGGCTTCATTTCGTCCGACACTTTTGAACATTTCTTTGCACCTCTTGTTACTGACAATCGGAACGTTGGCCTCTTTGAGAACCGTAGCCAACTCTCCACCTTCGCTTAGACGACCCCATCCGGTGATTGTGGCGTTTCTGTCCGACAGGTCATCCGTGTCCTCCGGTGGCAAACATATGGGCCTTATATGAGCCCCGAAGTCAATGGGTTCGTCCACTTGGATGAGCGCCAAATCATTCTCATAAGTGANCGGTGATTGTGGCGTTTCTGTCCGACAGGTCATCCGTGTCCTCCGGTGGCAAACATATGGGCCTTATATGAGCCCCGAAGTCAATGGGTTCGTCCACTTGGATGAGCGCCAAATCATTCTCATAAGTGATATAATTATAGTTGGGATGAATTACCATCTTCTTAACCCCACGTTTGACGTGTGGATAGGGCTCTGAAGTGTTGGTGAAGTCATGTTCACCTATTCTTAATCTTATGTGTGTGTTAAGTAAATTTTCAACACAATGACCGGCCGTTGCGATCCACTGGCGGTTGAGTATAACGCCCCCACACTTATGACTATTACCAAACCCGAAAAAGAAGGTACGCCTGACGGACACCATCCACGGCCACCACCCGAATGAAGACTTATGACCCGAGACTATTCGCCCGCTTTTCTTCGGGGGCTGAACACCACATCCCATTGAGTGGTCAGAAAGGAAAGGCTTTTTAGTAGGCGTTAGGGACACAGAATTCAATGTCTCCGAGTCTGTTGACGTGGATCCGGTTTTTTGGATGAAATTCGTAGATTTACTTAAATTTGGTTTAAAAGTACCTCTTATTTTAACGCTATTAGAAGGTAAGAAACAAAACATGAATAATAAGACATAGACTTCCAAACAATTACTCCGGACTTTGTTTTTAAATTTCATTTTGTAAAACATAAAAATTATGACTAAAACATGAGATTACTTCCTTGATATTTAAACTAATATAAGTTTAAAAAACTCTTTATAAATACTTTATAAACAATTAAAATACTAAATCAACATTCAGTATCATTCACCTATAAGTTAACAAAGAATATAATAAATGACAATAAAGTGCAATAATCTGTGAAACAAAATACACTGTATTGTACATTGTTTAAAAATGTTAATGAAATGTTTGTTCAGATTTTATTTATATTTGAAAGAATGAAATATTTATAAAAGAATTTAAAATAATTAATTAAAAAAAAATAGTTGTTAATTAGTTATCTTTCCTATTATAACATTAGGTTTACTCGACTTTAGTAATGGTCTGCGACTGAGTGTCCAAAACACAAATATCTCCGGTTTTGAAGGCACGACACGCGCCCTCCACTGCTATTAGACTCGGAATACCGTATTCTCTGGCAATGACTGCCCCGTGAGATATGGTTCCACCGATTTCTGTGATAATACCCGACAGTAGAGGGAAGTATGGACTCCAACCGATGTCTGTCGAGTATGTGATCAGTATATCTCCCGGCTATTCATTATAAATGTCAAATATTATTATTAATTAGATTAACTCAACTTAATATTAACAGAATTCCTAAATACCTGAATATTGTCAGCTTCTGTGATATCCTCAGAGACACAAACTCTTGCTTTTATGGATCCATTACTAACAGGAGTTCCCTTCATCTGAACCATACCTGTGCCCAGATTTGGAGGAATAATTCGATCTTCAAACTGTGGATAAGTAATAATTCAATTAAATTTACGTTTAAAATGATTGCTTAACAATAATTCCTACATTTCTTGGTATCATTTCTGGTCCTTTAATAAACTCATCAAACTTGTATTTATCCATTTTTGGGTAAAGCCTTTTCCGGTGTCTAACTCTCGCAAGAATTAAGGGATCTCTGTCTCCATTACAGAGCGCTTCCACTTCATTAGTGGTTAAGTAGAAGAATGATTCGGCGGAAGGAAGGAGCCCTTCGTTAACCATTTGTTGAGATAATAATCTAAAGCCTTGTCGGTACTGATTATTCATCCAAATCAAGAAGTATTTGGAGAGTTCCCTATACCCCACCCCACGTCTACACCACGGAAGCAGTAGTTTCTGAATCAATAATCTCCTCCAATAGGAGAGTGGAGTCTTGAGTTCACTGACCACTTGATCCACAGATTTTTCAACCTTTGGTTTTAATTGTGATTCATTTCCGCTTAACATTCCCTAAAATGTAATCACTTTTATAAAGTAAACTATAATACTTTAAATAATATAATCAAAAGAAGTGTTACTTTAATTGTTTTAACACAAGGAATGGGATCCTCTTTCCATGTCTTATACATCGGATCAACCTCTCGATACCCTCTGTGACCGTGTCTTTCGAGAAATTGTTTGAATTTAAGAGACGACTCATCGGTTCCCTTATATAACACTTGTAGCGCCTCTTCATCTGACAATTGTTTGAATGTTTGCTTATCTTTGATAGACTTCGCGATATCTCTCAAACTGTTGGGCACTTCAGCGCTGATCACATCATTACACGAAGAAACCATTTCAGTGAAGTCCGACTCTATGTTTGGATTATTCGCTATTTTGAGGAATTTGTCAAAATTTATTTAAATTAATAATTTTGAATCAAATAAATATTAGTTATAAATTATAATATAAGCATAATTTGATATTAATTTCACGCGGCACTTACTTTCGGCACTTTCGAGAATAGCTTTTAAAATAGCATTTTTCATGGATGAGCCGAAAGATACCGGTCCGTGATATTTGGATGAATTGATTGCTATCTCATAGAATTTGTCGAAAATTCCTCTCCAAATGTCTTTTGCTGTGGAATATTGTCTCAAATGTTTGACCAAATCGTACGGATTTTTATCCATAAATTCAGTCTTAAGTTTAATCAAATTCTTTGGACCAAATAAAAGTGAATCCAAAACAAAATAAATGGTTTTTATTTTCCCAACGAGTGATGAACTCTTTTGCTCCAAACGTTTTTGTTTAAACATATTGAGCACATCCTTGTCGTCGATGTGATGACCAAACATGGATAATACAATTAGTTGTGATGGTTTAGTTTCAGGGTAATCGATAAACATGTCCCACCCTCCCTATGATAATGCACATATAATATATTTAGATAATTGCCTAATAAAAATCTAATTAAATAGTAACAAGTTCATTCAAGATACTAACAGTAGACAAATTAAACATGAGTTGATTGTATTCAACGCCCATTATCTCGATATACGGGTTATAATCCTCTTCAACCGATAGTCCATTTTGTATGTTTTGACGCTATGTTTAGATATCATTTTATTAAATATATTTCAATTTCTATATTAAATTAAGTTTAAAATATACCAAAAATCCACTTTTGTTGGCAAACATCCACTGTAAGACAATCCAAGATGAGGCACCAGGGAACATCTCACCCCAATGGGTACGGGTGTTGATCTCAAACTCTGTCGGATGAGATGAATCTAATTCATGCATAATCTCGTAGTCGGTGTAAGAGTTGTCTAAATTAGTTACGGGTCTCGACTGAAGCATAAATATTTGGCCCCCTTTTAGACCCCACTCTATAT